TATTTTAGATGCGACTATTCTTTGTGGTTTCTGCAATGTAGTATTGTATTCCATATATAGTCCAATTTGATGGGAAAGGCATAGATGACGATGATACAATAACAATAATAAAATAATCACCACTGTTTTCAGGTTAATGCATTAGGTTCCGTTGACTTTAAACTGTGGTGGATATATAAAATTGATGTGCACCTTCTACGCACCTTAATTATAGTAGTATAGTATGCGAAGTTAGACCATGCTGGTGTATAGAAAGTGATCTGGAAGCTGTACAGGGAAGAGAGGAATAGGACTCTTGATTGTGTAGATGAATGCAGCAATTTTTCTCAAATTAATTTTTCTCTCTTATTACAACTCATAGCTTTAAAGTGTTCTATGTATAGTTTATATAAAGTTATCTGTTCTCTTTCTACTACATTCAGTGTGTTAACTCTTGAAAAATGTTACTGATGTGGGAGAAATATATTAGCTCGAATTCAAGAGGACACAAACCTGCACAGACTCTGTTATTTTCAGTAAAATTAAGAGAAAACAATTTCTTATCTTGATTTCTTTCCTTCAATTCCTGTCTTCTCTTTAGCTAAATGCACTCTGAATTTATGTATGAGCTCATTTTCCACTGGTTTGAAAGCTTCTTCTTAAATTGGTTTCTTCTATTGACTAATGAGTCCTTTACTATCTATGGACATTATTGTGTTATATTTTGAATTCTAACAGATAGCTCTGCAACTTGTGCGGCAAGGTGTAGTGAATGAACCACATACAGTTGTCGCTGTTCAGCAAGTGGTCAAAGAATCCAGTGACTCGTCCAATAAAGAATCCAGTGAAATAGATTACCGATTGGAAAATAAGACCGAGGATGGTAGGTCATAAAACTACATCTAAACTTGAGGCAAGTGAATGTACTTCGCATTGTCAGGCTAATGAAACTTTCACTGAAACAGAGAGGTCAGCTGCTGCGAAAGATCCTTCCGACTCATCGGAGAAGACTAGTGAATCAATGGTATTATTATGAGTAATTCTACACCGATTTTTGCATACTTTTGCTTTTTCTGTACCTTTTGAAGCTAGTGCCAAAACCACAGTATAAAATCTTAAAGCTCCAGGCATTTATCAACTTGTGGAATAATATTTGTCTTTAGAAGTTATATATTTGGAAAATAATAAGCTAAGAACCTCTGAGGTTAGTTACTCATCATATTCTGAAGGAGGGGACTTGGCTTTCTTCACCATCATATTACTTATATATTCCCAATTCTTGTTAGGCTGCTGCAAAGACTTTAACAGTTAGCGTAAAACTTTTGCATCTCCCCATTAATTCAACACCTCATCCCAAAACAGTCATTGTGGACATGGAACACATGACTCTTTATCACTGAACCTCTGATATTCTCCATTTACCCAGTAATTGAAGTAAAGTTTCTGTCTTAATTTGTCTCCTTCACAGGTCAGTACGAGTTCAGATTTTAAGGAAGAACTATCTAAGGTCAAGGTCGAAAAGGTCATGATTGATGAATCAAATCTTATTGATTATGTTGGAAAGCCAGTTTTTCATGCTGAGCGCATATATAACCAAACCCCTGTTGGAGTGGTGATGGGTCTAGCTTGGACTGCAATGGGCGGTTCCACATTGTATATAGAGACCACCCAAGTGGAACTAGGAGAAGGGAAGGGCTCACTTTTGCTGACAGGTCAGCTTGGAGATGTAATGAAGGAGAGTGCTCAAATAGCTCATACAGTAGCCAGATCAATATTACTCGAGAAAGAACCAGAAAATCCATTCTTTGCAGACTCGAAGCTCCACTTGCATGTGCCAGCTGGCGCAACCCCAAAGGATGGGCCGAGTGCTGGATGCACCATGATCACATCCATGTTGTCGCTTGCCATGAAAAAACCTGTGAAGGAGAATCTTGCTATGACTGGTGAAGTTACTTTGAC